TAATCCAAAAATAATCCAAAAATAATCCAAAAATAACCCAAGAATGATGACGACACTTTTAATCACCAATTGGTCATATGCCACGAATAAATGCGAATACTGTAAGTACGAATAAATATGAATAAATATGAATACTATTTTATGAAAACTATTATTTTTTTTTTATACGTATAAAATATTAATAACTGATGCTCACGCGTACACGCATATATTTGCTTCAAATTGGGATAACTATAGAATGAAATTTTGAATCAATTTAAATTCCGAATTTAATGCGAATCGAATTTGATGTTCGGAGTGATAAACACATATACAGGGTATCAATTTTAATACTTTTATTTATTTAATATACTTGAGGTACTTCGAGGGACCTCAATAATCCGCATACATCAACCTAGTTGTGTTAGTTGTGTTTCTAAGAATAAAAAAAAATCATATATATAGATATATAGATATATAGATATATATATATATAAATAAACGAATTACTTGTCACTAAGAGGTGGATGAGGTGGAAATCATGATTAACCAATCGAACGTACTTTATGCGTGATAAACGTAGAAATCGAGAAAATAAAAAATTTATAAAAAAAAAATCTGTTGGCAAATCACAAATTTACACCAATACACACACCAATACCTTTAATTTTTAAAAAGTCACCAGTTATTTTAGTTTTATTTTAGCTTTTTATATGTGGATTTTATGTGTACCTATGTAGTATATCATGTAGTATACGTAGTTTTTATGGTGTAGATTTATTGTGTGTAAATTTTATTGTGTAAATTGTATATATGTATATATGTATATATATGTATGTATGTATGTATGTATGTATAGACTTTATGATAAATGCCAAAGTATATTTCTTATTTTCTTATTAACTACAGTATTAACTACAGTATTAAAGTATTAACTACAGTATTATTATTACTATCATTACTATCATTATGATTACATTATTACTAGTCAAGTCTTTCTTCCTGTATCACAATCAGAATAGTCGTAGAAAAGTCTATTAATTCAAAATTATTCGGAAATGCATAATCAGAGCTTTCCAAGAAAATATGTAACACGAAAATAAAGAATATTTTTTTATGAAAAACAGGTTCTCGGTCTGAACAAAATGTTTTTGCTACACACGCTAGTCAGCTACTTAGTCAGTCTTTACTTACGTGACCTTGAAAGAATAAAATAAAATGAATAAATAAAAAAATTATCAAACCTCCTAAAAAAGTTATATTTTAAACAGAGATATACTAACAATAAACTATTTTCTTTTAAGGTTGGTAAAGTTGGTTTAGTTTACTTTTTGTAAGCATTTTCTATTTTCCATTTCTATTTCTATTTCTATTTTTTAGTATGTTATCGCATTTTTATCTGGTGTTGATAATTATAGTAATATCACATATTTTTCAATTCATCGAAACCAGTTTACTATAATATTTATGATGTACAATAAATAATAAATTGATTTAATAATTTAATTTATTAATAATATAAATTATATATTTTATACAGTACGTATGAGATTTTTTTTACTTAATATATCAAGTACGGTACATCAAAATTATTATATAAAAGGTAATGCTTCTCCACTTTATCCACGAGAGAAAAAAAATTTATGAAAAAAAGTTTTTTTTCTTTTCTTGCCCTTTAATATTTTTTATATTTTTATATATTTTTTAAATAATTTTATAATAATTAAAAAAAAAAAAAAATCAAAAAAAAATAAAAATTTAAAAAAAAAAAAAAAAATAAACAAAAAAAAAAATTTTAAAACATAAAAAAAAAAATATCTTAGAAATCCAACCCCCAACAAAAGAAATTAAAAAAAAAAAAAAATCAAAAAAAAAAACAACTTAGTTGAAAACTGATAGTTGTTAAAGTGATATCTAAAGTGTAACTTACGCTTTGCTATTTTCGTATGAAGATATTGGTTTTTTTTTATGACTTTTAAAAAACCAAATTTTATTTCTCTTCTTTTTTTTCTTTAATTTTTTCGCTTTAATCATCTTTTATTCAACTTTACGAACGTTTTCTTTTGGCAAAATCTATCTGAAACTTAACTGTTTATTACGTTTATCAAAAAAAAAAAAAAAAAAAAACTAAAAAAAAAAAAAAAAAAAAAAAAAAAAAAACACAGAAACTAACAAAAAAAAAAACCTTTAATTTTTTAAACCAATTTCTGTGTTTACGTTTCTTAACTTTTTCGTAACGCAGCAAAAAAAAAAATAACGAATTAATCTGAAACGACTTTTTTTTCAACATGGGATCTCTTACACGCTTTTCCGATATGCACGATCTTAATGATCCTTCGAGTTTACAACTTGACTATCGTCAGGGCATTTGTTCGATTTCAAACGTGGCACCGATTCCTATTCTTCATCATTCTACACCACCATATCATCATCAAAAAGAAGTTGAAATTGCTTCTGACTATTTGAATATGAATAATCGAATCTCTTTTACTGAATATTTAACCGATGAACATTATATTTCGGAAGCTTACGAATTCTATCCACCTCAACACATGACCACTTGCTCTTCTCCAGAAAGCGACAACTACAGCATGTTTAATATGGAAGAACCCAAGATAAAAATCGAATACACTGAACCTATTGATCCATCTTGTTCAATTTATAATATGCCAAGAACTATGTCTCAAGATAGTTGTCCCGATCTTACAGTTTGCAATCCTTCAAGTATTTCAACTTCACCACTTACACCTCTCGATTCACCTCATGATCAATCACCGATCATGTCACCGACAGGTCTTTCATTATCCCATCATCATATTATAAATGATCAAAGGGATATTATTCCAGAAGTAATGTTAGCAAATTGTAATAATGGACGTGGACGTCGTGGTAGAATTCCAACTTCATCAGTACAAGAAATGTTTCAAGATCCACAAGATTTTCATCGTTCAATTATGGGATCTTTACCTTCTCCACCACCTGCTCAACCACCAACAACGACAACAAAATCAACTGGCAAATCAAGAGGACGACGCATGACAAACAAACCTGCAAAGCCTGGAACAAAATCTTTTGAATGTCATTATGCTGGATGTGGAAGAATTTTTAAACGGTCGGAGCATCTTAAACGTCATATTCGTTCAATACATACTCTTGAACGACGTAAGTATATCATAAAAATATATATATAAATTTTAATATTAATTTAATTTAATTTACACAATATTTAATAATGTTTATTATTTATTATTATTTATTAGCTTTCTGTTGCCCCCACCCACATTGCACGAAACGGTTCTCTCGGTCAGATAATCTTAGTCAACATATTC